TATGTCTTGGTATCTGTTACAACGAATGATCAACCTAAAGGTGGTAAGCCTCGGAACACTACGTAGAGACAAGGCCCACACATTATCCGCCTTCATCTCCAGAACAAATTGCGACCTTCATCATTGTGGCTCGTAATGTTCCTAGATAAAGACCAATCTCTACGAGAACTGACCAGCCCTAGCGTTTTATGAACTTGAGCAATAGATAGAAAGACTCAAGCAGCACATTTCCCCAAAAGTTTATCAGACAACTTAGAGTTTTCCATGCGTCGACTGTGTCAGTCAATTATCGGTGTGCCAAGATAGTGACAACTCTTGGTACTGATTTAGTGAATTTTAAGAATTGGGGGGGGCTCGACTTACGATGTAGGCCCTATACATGTAGTTTTGTTCCAAAAAAATTCAAGAAACATTATTAGGCCTTTTATTTATCCTCATGACTCCTTCCTTGATGTGTATGCTGTTTAGAAAAGGAATCGATTCTCTAAGGAAAATTGGTTTGCAAGTTATATTAAATTACTGTGCACTTTCTTTTTTCCGTGAGTATATCTCTACTTCTTGGATGGCCAATGGGATCTACAAAACATATTGTGTTTCTTGTGCCTTTAGAATATTAATTTGATGACTCTTGTCATTATAATTACTGACGTTGTAACCTTGTCAGTACGGAGTTGCTGTGACTGAAGCAGTCTGCCTTCTATTTGATGTAAATTGAGTCGATGGAAACGTAAGGCAAAACATATAACAACTTCCACATTCTTAAATGCCCTATCCAAGACACAAAAATATCGCCATGTAAAGCACAGGCGATCTGTTAGCTTAGTAGGTATCGTGCTGGACTGCGGAGAGGGTGGCTTAACATGGTTTAAATTCTCAACCGAAAGCTGTTGAACTTGAGTAGTTTGGGATGTTTTAAGGCTCTCCCACCACTTGAGTGAGATCGCGCCTCTTTAGTAGCCTAACAATTTTGAAAGTCTTCCTCCTCATACTTAACGTTACAGTATTGAAAGAAGCGCTAAACGGAAAAAAATAAGAAGCGTCGAATCGTTCTCAACAATTTGATCATCATCATCATCATCATCATCATCATCATCATCATCATCTTCATCATCATCATCATCATCATCATCATCAT